TGAACTCAGATTCCTACTAATAGAGGTAAGAATGTACCCATAATTAAGGATTAAGGGTTAAGCATACCCGTAAGCCGATTAGGAGCGTATTACCTAATCTGGTAATCTTGTTACAGGGCCCATGGAAGTCCGGACCCATAAATGTCAGTATAAATAGCTCTTGTCACGAGGTAAGGTCACTGTTCATTAATTGCTATCGATATCTGCGCTTTGTCCTGACTTGAGCGTCGGAGTGCCTTTTGCAGGTACCTCCCCCATACCGGAATATTGGTTCGGAGCACTCGTTCGGCCCTCAGAATACGAAAGGATTATTGGTGTATCCTTTAGACAGGTACAAAGTTAAATCTTTTTATAATGTTATAAGTTCAATCTCATGACACATGCAGCAACAAACCTACCCTGTGCAATGTTAGGCCCGTGCCTAATTCATTTAATTTTAATTTTTTTAACACGATTATAGTATTAAATTATCATTTATCAAGGTAGTAACTAATTTAGTTGGTTGGGTAAGATGCATGAGGATAAACTCTTTTGTTAACTGTGTTGGGTTTTCATGAATAAAAAAATAGTATTAGATTATCATTTAAATTTTACTTTTAAATTTGTCTATATTTAATTTTTTTTTTCTCATGTGACCTAAGAGATTATTATGTATTGATTAAGGAGTTGCATTTTTACACTGGCCTAACAGTTGTATGGTTGAAGACTTTATAGATATTAAAGTTGTAAATGTTAGTACTATAGTGGTAGGAATGATCAACTAGATGGTTAGGTACTATTATTTATTATCCTAGGAGTTTAAACAGGATTTAACCATATGAATCATATTAGGAGTTGTTTACTTCTAGGTACATGATTTGTAAAAGGGTTCCGGTACCCTTATACCATTTCAATTTATATAATTTTTGCTTGCTGATTAAAAAAATATATTGATTATCTAAACTTTTAAACCAAATGTATTTATTAAACACAAATTATATTTTTTTTATTAAATCAAATGGATCAGTTTATTTTGATTCAAATTTCTTATAAAATACTTATTTTTTTTTACTTAGGGTCAAATTGAAACCTTTTTTTATCTTTATTTAAATTTTTTTTAAAAAAATAATATCATGTATAAAAATCATGGATCTAACCTAAACCTTCCAGTCAAACCAAGACAAATTGGCTCAATTTTTTTTTTTTGATATTTATTTTGGGGATACCACTCATTGGATTAAGTTTTTTTTTTTTGACAAATCTAATTATTCTTATTATGGTCCATTGATAATCATATGATTGATATGGTTGGATAAGATAATTGTCATATCTTATTAAAATCAATGTTTATCATATCATATTGATGTAATGTATTTTTTATTCTTTTTTCTTCTCTCTTTTTAATTATATATCTCAAACTTGTCACTATTATTATCATTGTCGTTATTATTATTATCATTATCACTATCATGTGTCACATCATTATCACTACTATCATCACCAATTATCACTATTACTATTGCGTCAATTTGTTTGTTATGTTTTAATTAGTTTCTCTAATTTGAAAATACACAACTTTTGGTCATCAAAGTATGTAAGATAACACAAAAACAATCATAAAAAGTTATACATTTTCAAATTTGAAAGACCAAAATAAAACAAAAAAAAAAATTGAGAGACAAAAACAAAAGTTCAAAAATATTAGAAAAATTAAAAACATATTTTATCCATTATTATTAACTATAATTTGTTAAAATATGAAAACAATAAAATTTTCAATGACATAACTATCTAGAGTCTAGACTAATAAAGAACTTTCCAGCATGCAAGAGTGGAAGCTTTGTTTTATCTTTGTTTTCTGTTTAGATCCAACAGAAGGATTTATTATTGTTTGTTTTTCTAAATATGATTTGAAGTGCACAACACATGCCTTGTCTAGAGAAATATATACACAATTCACTATTTATCAATGTTTTTAAAAGGAACAAAAAAGCACCAAGGATAGAAGTTACGCCTAGCACGCTAAAGATTAACGTACCAAGTCATGTCCCTTTCCTTTACATGAATTTGTCACTTGCACGTGACCAGTCAAAATCCAAGATATGAGACATCCGTTGCTACTCTTTGTTTCAGTGATTTGTTTGTTCTTGTAATCTTGCATAGTACATATCTTGTTCGAATCACATTTTCCATTTCCTTGCATGTCACTGTTTCTTTCCCAAGAGTGTGCATGACCAATACTGACTACATACATACCTTTTGACAAATAGAAATAGTTTTAATATATCAAGTCTGATTTTCTGTCAAGTAATTATTGACTTAACGCTTTCTCTGAAAAATCAAATTCATGTGTTCATATGCATATTGTCATGATACAATCAAGAGTAGTTACTCCACGACAACTGAAAAAGCCAATATTCGCGTATGAACTCGACCCTAGCGTAGTGTTTGAGTTTCATACGAATATGGGAAAAAACTAGCTTACTACATATTAAGAATCAGTTGTTAGTTGCAATAGCGCAGAATCAGCAAAAATTGATGAATTATGGTAGAATCACATGGAGGATTGTGAGTCATAAAAAATTATTAGAGAAACTCTTTGTCATATTTTTTTAAACACGCTTTCTTTTTAATTAAAAATTATTTTAAAAAAATACAAAGTTTAATGAATTTTACATTTTATTTAATGACTTTTTCCTAATTTTTTAATTTTTAATAAATTATAATCAATAAAAATAATATGTTAAAAAATGTCTTAGAAAATCTACACTAGCACTCCTCAAATATTAGTTTATTTAGATACAAATTTAAAATATTTTTAAAATTTAATTTATTGAAAACAAAGTGTATTTTTTTGCTAGAAAAACTGTAAAAAGCATTTCTAAATAGTTGAAGGAAGGTTTGTTGTTTCTGGAAAGTGGAAAGTACTTCACCGCAATTTATAAGATTTCCGAAAGAATTCGCATCGAAATATATGACAATTGCTCAAGTTTTCTTTTCGGTCAAATCTTGGAAATCATTTGTCGGAAAATAGAACCAAATTAAGTATTCATTTAGCGTGTTTGGGAAAAATTATTTCCCAACTTTCGGATGTGTTTTTTTTTATAAAAAAAAAGTAAAATAAGCTAATTGTTAAGACAACTTAGTTTAGTAAATTTCTTTTTCTGAAATAAAATTTGATTTACTTTTCATGTCCTAAAACTGATTTACAACTTTAAAACTGATTTTTTTATTTATCTAAACAAAATTTAACATTTCATATAACTTTTTATCAAATTTACCCAAACAAAAATTCACTCTTTAAAATAATCTAATTTTCATGACTTTCCAAACATACCATTAATACTCAATAGATTATGGCCGTTTTGATTCAAATTTTCACTAATAAACATCTGTTTATATCTGTTTATTTCTAAAGAACCTATATTCTGTTTGCTGCGTAAAATTTGTTCCAGCATGTTTATTTTCCGGTTTTCATTTTTCACCGTCGAAGATAGTAGAATTTCTTGATCCTGTTCTACCAATACACAAAAGAAGTAACCACTTGATAAATGAACTACACACATTTGATTCTTCCAGCACAAGATCAGTGAGAAAGTAATAAGTTATTGGGTCACAATAAGTTTTCCGAGCACCAATCAGCATGACAATCTCTCACCACATAATTGATACAGGTTCCAAATGAACAAGTTGCAATAACCAGAGTCGTTATACATCAACACAACACACAGACAGACAGAACAATTCCCAAATTCTACATGAAGGCTCCTCGACCTTTCCCCTCGCATGTCTCCATTATGCCATTGTGCCAAATGCTCTGAATCAGCTATCTGTTGCTTCACTTGCATTTTCATTAGAGGACTGTCGCACAAATTGTCCACGAAATCGAGGTCGTTGTTCAGCTAATTTCTTTCTGCTCTGATATCGAACCTAAAACATAAACCATATTGAGTTAGCTCCACAAGACACACCACACCATCCTAACACTATAAAGGGTAACCGCATGATAATCCTCACTCTATCAATGTTTAGAACCTGTCAATCTCCCATTCTGCTAAAAGATTAGGACCAGTCTGATTTTTAAAAATTTGTTTTCTTTATTTTCCATTTTTACTAGTAATTACAGAAGTGTAATCTTATATTCACCATGTGTCCTTCCCTCTTTTTTCCAAATATTAGTATATAAAAATACAAAAATAACAAAAATATTCCCTTCATCATTTCAAGTACTAATCTTCGAAAATAAGAAACAAATGAAAAAAAAAATTGTAATACATGGATAAAACAAGAAATGAAAATAGAAGCGTTTTCCCAAACGCAAAAAAGTTGTGATGTGAAAATTCATGCAAAGTTTTATATTTAACAGAGTAACAAAACTTAAGAAAATCCAATCTCCTATCACAAACTAGGAAAACGGATTGCCTAATATAGAATCACAAATGTAGCCAACTTAAAAAAATATATACATGTACATATAAAGTAACATTAATGACATATTCCCTTAAAATCCCAACTTAAATAACTCAAACCACAATAATTGACTTCCTACAACGCCCTTGAGCTTTACAAACATTTTTGTGTATAAATTGCTTCTTAATGCACTAAAAGAACAAAAATCGGTCACTATAAAAGATTCCAATAGCACCACAGTAATGTCATATTGGTTGACTAATGCGTAAGGGGTAGAAAAAAAGGACGAGGGAAACCAAAGCGATGATCTGTTCCCTTATTTCTTGTAGTTATGACAAGTTTTCTTATCTTTTGTAATCTGGGGCAGATTTGTGGCTTAAAAAGCCCAGTTTAGCCATTACCATTATGTTGCAAATATTGAGATGTTGCCTAAAAGTTCATTGAGTCTGCAAACGAACTAAAACCGTAACCACCTTAATTGCAACCTCACTTTTCCATTCTATTAACCTAGCCACCTCCACTGTGGCCACCCCTAGGTTGTCTTCATCAAAACCATCTTGAGACTAGCCATTACTATTATGTTGCATATATTGAGATGTTGCCTAAAAATCCATGTAGTCTGCATCCGCACTAAAACCCTAACAACCTTAATTGCAATCTCACTCTTCATTCTATTAACCTAGTCACCTTCATCGTGGCCACCCCTACGTTGTCTTCATCAAAACCATCCTGCTCACAGACCATGATTGTCAATGAGTGATCTCACTCAATCTTAAGCAAGCTCACCCCTTCTGTTGCTAAAAACAAAAATTAGTCTTGGTTTTTTATTTGTTATTTTAAGTTATGTCTTGTGTGAAATTTTGCATGATTTGCTATGAAACATTGCTACTTTAATATTGTAATTTGCTATTTTACTTTAATATGAAGTTGAAATGTTAAGTTATTATATTATTTAATATTTATAAGTATTATAACATTTTTTTATATTAAGTGAACTCTTACAAGTATACTATTCAAGATTATGGAACCTCAATGAGATTACGTAAACTCTCAAGATTGAGAATCCTGCTCACAATACTAACTGCTTTTTTTTACAACCACCCAGCCACTGTGGATAGACAGCAGAAACTTAATAACTGTGTGGGTAGGTGGCAAGTCACGAAACATGGCACACTGGCCGGTATTAAAACGACGATCATCCTGGACAGGTCATGGTCAGATTGGAAATGAATGGGTGACATCGGCAGATGGTAGAAAGGTAGTGGTCGGTGACATGTGACCGAGGCACAATAAAGGTGCCCAACCGAAGTGATAGCAAGGAAAAGCTTCAAAGAAGGCAGCCTAAAGTTGCCATAAAAAGGGCAGCTAGGGTGCTAAGGCAGAGTCTCCCAGATCCGGAGCTCGGTTACCAACTTGAAAATAAAGCATTAAAGAGAATAATCTGAGTATTATTCCTTCCTGGAAACACAATCACAAGTCTGTTTATATAGGCTACTGCTACTCATGAATAACAGGAAGTAGGGAGTAAAATCTCTTAATTATTCCTGGTAATCAATCTCTGTCCCAAATCCATGTTAATTATAGGAAAATAGTATTTTGTCCTAAATTAATTACATATTTACAACAAAGATCATACTTGAAAACCTCATAATAACTAATGAAGTTCCTATGAAGTTTTGTGACAATAAGTCTGCCATTAGCATTGCAAAAAACTTGGTTTAGCACGATAGGATGAAACAAATGGAGATAGATTAACACTTCATAAAAGAAAATTTAGAAGTTTGTCAGAGACTAAAAATAGAATGAGACTGTGTGTTTTATTTATAAAATTGAAATATTACAAGTTTCCCCTAATCCAGAGCCTATCTCCTTTAGATACTGCAAAGAACCTTTTCCCAACTTACAGCCAAAAGGAAAGATAATAGGGTGCCAAAAACTCACTCCTACCTCTACCTTCCTACAAGGATCCCCTGTACATGATCTCCCACTAGCAGACTAGCTAACTATGACAACCCAACTTCCTACTTTTTGAACATTTTCCTTCCAACCATTCTAGTGTATTCTTGCAAAATCTTATGCCCCCGTCCTGCTACTATGATCGGCTCTTTAAACTCCTAGGCCATCATAGTGTTGTCTTATAGCTATTACATACATCCCTTCAAGATGTCAATTGGAAGATGTATTGACAAAGGGACTTTCCTCGTAGAACTTTCAAAATCTTAGTAGCAAGTTGGCAATCATACACATCCATAATCCATTCATCAACTCAAGGGAGAGTGGTGTACCATATGATCTTTTTTTATTGTGTACAAATTTGTTTCCTATTTAGTAATCAAGGGCAGTTTAGTTGCCTAAAAATCCTAGGTTAATCATTACTATTTTTCTGTAAATTTTGAGAGCAACTGTTGTACAATCGATATCAGAAAATAACATTTTACCTTCCAATTTTTTTAAGTATACCCATCCTTTCTGTTTAGGGAAGTTACTTGGAAAACATTGTATAATCCAAAAATATAGTAAAAAAAACATGAAATATTATTTACGAGCTGCAGGGATCTGAAATTTAATACATCCCTAAATTAAGTCTAATGACAGACACGGACATGTCTGTGAGTGTTGATCGTGGCTCCCATCAACCTTTCAAATCAACCACGTAGTCATGAAAATGAGATGAAAGAGATGTATGGAAATTAAAAATAATAAATGAATAGTGAAAATATAGGGAATGGTAAGTCCAAGCAAAGGTAGCACCACATGACCAGAAAATATCAGATTATGCTAGGTGCAGGAGCCATGGGCATCACTCAAGTGTGCTGAATGAGTAGACTGGGCTCTGTGCGAATTAAAGGAGTGACAAGGACAAGGAGGGAATTGATGGGATTGACACTGTCGTTACATGTAACAGCAGAGAAAAGGACAAGAATATTAACAGTAAGGAAAGCTCGTGTGATGCCAATCAGACAATGGAGAGTGATCATGGTATCACCACAAGGTAGGATAAATTTGAAGAGGTGGGGGAGTGAGGATTTGAAAGGTTTTAGAAAGGAGTGGAGTGGTTAGGAATTCTCCCGTGGTTTATCTTTGAATTTCTTTTTTTAGCAATTTTCCTGAGAATTTTGTGTTAACAGAGGTCTACCACTGAATGAAGGAGGTAAAGTCTTCGATATATCTAAAAATAATTTCCAGTTCCTTTAATATCATAAAAATAGATAATAAATTACTTATATACTCTATGGACCATTACCTTTTTATGGAAACACCTCTCCTTTCTCTCTTTTCTCTTTTGGCGAAATTTAGTCAAGGCTGCTTCCCTTTGAGTAGTCTTGTTTGGTTCTACTTTGTTGGCACTTCCACTTCCACTAGCATCACCACTGCCACTATTTCCGGTGAGTCTATTGTTGCTTTCCATGTTTGTCCCTCCAGCATTAACTGCTGTGCTGCTCCCATTTTGTCCATTGCTTCCATTGTTGCTGCCTGAAACACTTCTATTGATACTGTGGTTTCCAACATTACCTTCAACTAGCAGTTCAACCACATTTGATGACCCACAATGTGGAGCAGCAATAGCCATTTTCTTTACAGATTCAGCATCATGATCAGGTGGCAGCTGGTGCTGCATGTTGTCAGCAATACAGTTATGGTTTTCACAATGGAGATGGAATTCCAGAGCTGCAGAATCTTTATGTCTGTCTACTTTAGGTGGTGCTAACATTGTTGCTGTCGTATCTTTAGTATTATGTAAGACAACTTGTTGAGAGGTACAAACAAGGTTGTTTTTCATAGGCTGGAAAGAAGATGTTTGGTACAAGCATTTAGTTGTTGATGCCACTGCTGGCTCACTTACAACTGCAGATTTAGCGAAAGCATTATTAGTAGTGGAACCCGTATCATTGTTATTGCTAGCACCATTTGAGGTTTGGTTAGGTGGATTGCCGCTAGAATGAGATTGAAGATCACGAGACGAATCTTTCTTTGTAACTTCTAAGCTATTATTATGTGGAGAATTGCTTCCAACACATCCAGTGGGAGACTTCTTAGTGTTAGAGGCTGCATTGTACCTGTAGCAAAAAGACTTTGACAATTAAACAGTTATCCATCTTAAAATTAATTCAGAAAAATACAAATAATGTTCAATCATCACCTTGAGAAAGCAGACTGATCAGAACGTCTTAAAACATTCCGTTCATCCTGAATTGTAATGCCAGCATCTTTAACTCCTCTAAGCCTCTTTAAACTGAGCTCAAGAGATGGCAAATCTTCATCATTATTAGTACCTTTATTTTCAATATCTGAGGATTTGGGTCTTCTATTTAGGGCTTCAAATTCTCCACTATGCATCTGAGAATCAGAAGTGCTAGTAATGGCATCGGACAATGATAAACCTTTGCACCTTAGCTTGCTAGATTGATTTTCACAGTTAACGTCCAGTTGTCCTCTATTAATTTGCTCATTGAATTTAGAGGGGCTGACATCAGGTGCATTGCTATGTTTAGAACCTGCAGTTTTGACTGGAACCCCATTGATATAGTTGACCATCAAGTCAATATCTCTACTGAGTCAACTTTCATCTCTTCCAGGGAAAAGAATTAAATACAATAAATCATCCCAAAATAAAGATACATGCATGTGCAATAGGTACATGAATTCATATATGAACAGCTGTCCACCCAAACTTAAGGAGTCAAATTAACATTGTCCAGCAAAAAGAATCAAATACAATAAATCATCTAAAATAAAGGTACATGCATATACATGAATCAACAATAGGTACATGAATGCATATATGAACAGCTGGCCCACCCACAATTAGGGAAAAGGCTACATATATTAATGGAATGAGATCAGTAGGCATGAATCACAATAAGAAACAAGTAACCTTAACAAAACAAGAAAAAACATCAATTAAAAACAGGCACTCTAATGCAGTTGTATGACAGACTAACAGTAACAATGCAATGCAAAAGCATGTCAACCAGAGAAATTGAACAATTATAGATGCAATGTTAAGAACATCCAAGCATGGATGAAAAACAAAAATAGGAATTTCACAAGCATAGAAAAGTGTACTTTGAAATATTATACTCACAGTACTGGATTCAGGAATAGAACTCATGATTTTAGCATTGTCAATTCATATGACTCAAGGAATCAAGATAACTAACGGTACATTGGAAATATTTTCAAAATTGAAATATCTTTTAGGGTTAAAATAATCATTTGGTCCCTATAGGTGAAACTCATTGAGAAATGAATCCTTGTATGACAAAAACTTAAGTTTTAGTCCCCATACTCCCAATTTAGTACACATTGGTCCTTGTTCTTGTGTTTCTTAAGCTTTAGTCATTATACACCCTTATTAGCAAGAACCAGTGTGTACAAATAAGGGCCGCATATAGGGACTAAAACTTGAGTTTTGTTAATCTAGAGATTGATTCTTAAATGAATGTAGCCAATAGGGAGCAAATGATTAATTTAACCTATCTTTTAAAGAATCATGGGCTACCCAAATAAAGCCCCTAATGGCAAACCCAAAAGCAAAGCAACATAATGAAAACAAGGAAGAGAACATTAAAGCCAATGCTATGGAAGAAATTGGTCTTCTAGAAATTCCTTACTGAGATAGGAGATACAATTAATATCATAGAAAATCTTCAACCAACACACCATAATATTACCATAATCATCATATACTCATACAATTTGGATGAATGTGAGGGAGAAAGATTTAATGCAGTGGCAGGAAGATCAAGGCACTTTGGTCTTACCAAGTTGTTCCTTCTGTTCTGGACACTCCTTTGCGGCTATAGGAACCACCTTGTTCCCACCTATTTCAGCATTGGAGTGAACAACTTGAGCACAGGTACTGTCAGGGCACTCAGCTATTTGATCCCACTGAGAGACTGGTTTGGGACTATCAACTTCTATAGCACGTTTGGTCCATGAGCTCTGCAAAAGGAGAAAACAAAGAACTTGACAAGTAGCTTCTGTTTACCAGGATTAGAACATGACCTCTATTGGACAATACTAGCTAGTTAGTCCAAGCCAGAATGCTGATGATTTGCCGTGGTGTTCACAGTTAAACTGTTTTATTTCATTACTAAACATTTAAATTTCACGTGTCTTAATGAATGACCATAAATTATGAAGGTTTCTAGCCCATTACTTTTTCATATACTTGCAAGTGATAACAGTATTCTGTGTTAGTCAAACAGCAGCAACCACATGAAACACTTTTTTTTGCATTAAATTAGTCAAACACAATGTGCCACACTTCCTACTCAATCAACAAATTGTTTTAGAAACATTCTAATTAGAGAAATATAAAACTTTCACATTAACAGGTTAGGTTCAAAGGGAACCATTTTTAAATGATGTACAGTAGATAAACCCAGACACTGACAGTTCACAATTTCAAGTTTTCAAAACAGAATAAAATGTCGGTATAATTAATTTCTCAGCCATGTACATCAGATTAGTAATAATTTCTCCTCTAACATAACTGATACACACTCAAATGAGAGGAGTCCTGGGGGATTTACAGAAAACCAACATGTGGCTCAAGGCCATCCCTTAAACTTAGCAACAAAAGTGTTAATAAGTGGACAACAGGGATAGGTAACAGAAGTGGATAACTTGAACTGACGTGCAACAAAGAAACCACAGACAGGCAAAAATACATTTTCATTCACAGGTGGATGATACAGACAACCTTTTAACCCCTAGATGGTTTATGTGTGATATATAGATTCACAGAACACTTTCATGAATCTCTCCTAACTCGGGAAAAAGAATTAAAAGAAGAGATTTATTTTTATCAACATCCTTTCTTGCTGGTTTTCATGACAGTATCTTCTTAGTGGTCCATCCTAGTAAGCAAGTTGCAACAGGCGGACCTAAACTTCTCTCAGTCATTTTTATTCTTCTTTTATGTTTAACATATTATATAGAAAAACAGGGGGGAAGTTAGTGAATCTGAGGATAGATATGACAAATTGAGAAAGAATCCAACAATTGTGGGTAGTTCATATCCTTGTATAAGTTTTACAAACTATGAATTAACAAAAAAATAAAACACATCCATAAAACCTAACTTCAACCTTAAGGCCTGTTTAATCCATGAATGAGTTTTTCCAACAAAACATCACGAATGCAGAAGCTATACCTGAGTGCCACTACCATTGTCACTTCCATCCCCATTATTCAGGCCTACACTGCCATGATCATCTTCATCATTGCTTCCAGAATTATTATCAGACTTTTCAAGGCTCCTTGATTTTACAGACTTCTGGGTTTGGGTGCCACTTTCACTGCCACTGCCACTAGACTGCAAGGAAAGAAACAAAATAATAGTCATAATTGACAAAGTAACTGAATGCTCGTGACATATCAAAGAAATCATTTTAAGCATGAAGGAATATATCATAAATCTGTCATTGACATTGAGCAAAATTCCATCTACATTTAATGGTAATAATAATAGGTGGTTTTCACATATACATCAATCCTGCAATGATATGATGATTCCTCAGATTTAGCAAAGGCAAGAGACTGCTTATATTATCATAAGTATTATTGGCCAGAAAAGAAAACAAAGTAAGTCAGCTTACACTGTGACATCTTCTCCAAACATGCTGCCACAGGTTTTTAAGCTCATTCTTCCGTATGGGTTTAACTAGAAAGTCAACAGCACCCTTTGACAAACACTTAAAGACTAAACCCATAGAATCATGAGATGACATCACTGCAGACCAATCCCATTAGAAGCCATAGAAAAGAGTATCTCTTTTATAACATGTGATGAGAAAAATAAATGTTTCAAACCAAACATATTTATATATAAGCACTTGGAAAAACTTACTAACTACTGGAATATTTTTCCGGGTCTTGTGGCCCATGATCTTGTATAGAAGACCAATGCCTGTTAAGCCAGGCATTGCCACCTCAGTTAAAACGAGGTCAATATGATTGGTTAAATCATCCAATATCTTCCAAGCTTGCACTCCGTTTGCTGCTTCAATAACTGGAAGGAAAAAAAATGAGATCTTATGTAATAAAATTAGACTCTTGATGTAGAACTATATTAACAAAAATTATATATATATTCACAATAGCTATTATAATCATGCCATGAGCAAAATATTTGCTCATAAAGTTAATATATAGATGTTTAAGAACATCACCTTTTAATTGCAAATTGTTGCAATGCTATCCGAGAGAGAATTCTAAGAGAAAAATTATTGAATCTGAATTGAAAACAATAATGTACATTGAGTAGGTAGTTATAGACTACTTTGGTCAGTTAGACTGATCCAACAGAAAATACAGCTAGTGATACCTACCATAAAAGAGTACAGCTAAAGATAACAGAAAACAGTTACATGACAGCTGTACAAGAGCTAAATTGTGCGCCTAGCTACTGGCTAATATACACATACTTGAACACAAATTATCAATGCTATTACCTCCTGTTTTATTTCTAGTTTACAAATTATTGTAAAAACAGTTTATATTTAGGATAGGAAAACTTATCTTTCAGTTAATCTTTTAGATATAATATAGTTTAGTATTTGTATATATGTGGTTACAATACTGAATAACAGACACTAGTTTCTTCTCTTTCAAGTTGGCATCAAAGCTCCCAACCTTGGAGTCTTTGCTTCTGTGGCACTGTTCATGCACCTCTTCAAACACCACCTACTGGACAGCAGTGGCGACATTATCTAATAAAAATTGTAACCGAGCCATATATATAGAAATGGAGGCTTTGAAAAAGAACATAATGTGAGAGTTGGTTTCTTTGCCCCAAGAAAAGAAGCAAGTTTGTTTTAAAGGTATATACAGCAATCAATACACTTCTCAAAAATTAAAATCATTTATGTAGTATATCTGATATTCGTATTAATGTACTGAATTGTCTAATATGTATGTGTTATTTAATATGAATATCAATACAAATTCAAAATGGTAGTTTATAATTATATCAAGTATAATTTGACAGAGGGTTACAATTTGTAACATTCTCACAATTTGGAGGGCAAAACTGGCCAAAAATTATTTAGGGACCAAATTCATGACAAAATAAAAACTTTGGGGGCACAAAAAGTAATTAAACCTAATGAAACATTCTCAAAAATTAGAAGCAAAATCCACAAAAAAAAAATATTTTGTCACAACAAAATGAAAGTTTAGAAGCATAAAATGCAATTAAGCATACACACACACATTTTTAGTACCAAAAAGCTTTTGACAATATTTATTTCAGTGACCGTAAAATTGGCGAGCGAACTCATAAAGTCATGAGTTCACATGCTTGCAACCGTCAAGTTGTTCAACTCAAACAAGCTCATTTTTTGGTGGGCAAGGGTAAACTCGGTCGGACTCGCTCAAAGTCACAATTGTAGGGGTGAGTTGGTGAGTTTGATTGCAGCCAAAAGAACTGACCCAAAAGAATGTTCATTAGTGTCATTTTGAGGCGCAATTGAGACAACACGCTAGCACACCAACAAAGGCAAATTTTGTGACACCCATCTCTTTCTGCAACACCCAACTCATGATTTCAATCTCCATTGATGACACTCATCTTGCGATTTCCATCTCTGTTCAACCTGTATTGTGATTCCATCGTCTGTGTTGAAGGCTCTTTATTCTTCTATGTTTTGTTTAAGGCTTCAATCTTCTGTTATAGTATTATCATATATAGAATAAAGGAAATTAGAATAGTTACTAATTAGAGGGATATCATGAGCTAGGACCATCATATTATCTATAAGGAGGATCCTAGGGCAGAGGGAAAGGCATTCATATTAGTAAGTCTTGGTGGGAATAGAGCAGTAGCTCTATGTAAAAGGGGAAACCCTTGGAGAATATATTTCTACCTATTCCTTGTTCTTTTCATGTGGTATTGTTAGGAGATAGAATAAAGGGAATTAGAATAGTTACTAATTAAAGGGATATCATGGGCTAGGCTAGGGATGGCAATGGGCCCCGTGGGGGCGGGTAATAGTAAACCCGCCCCCGCCCCGCTGAATGAAAATTGGCCCCATACCCACCTCATATCCGTGTGGGTATCCATTAAGGCGGTATCCATGAATTTCTTGAATACCCACGGATATCCACGGATATCCATGGATATTTATAAAATTTTTAAGAAATTAAAAAAATTATATTACAAATAATTTTAAGTTTATATTTTAATGTCATTGAAATATTAAAAATAAAAATTCAATGTTAATTTTGAACTTCTATTTAACGTTAATTTTGTTGAAATAATAATAAAAATTCAAGATAATCAATAAATTAAAATACATCAAGCTCACAAGTTAAAGTCTCATCACAAAGCTACAATAATTCAATCTCATAATTTCAAATGAAAGTAAATAACTTAAAATACATAAATCTTATTGGTCCAATCAAAGCTAGAAAATTAATCAAATTACATTCAACATAATTCTATAACATGCTTAACACATGTCGGTAACTTCATCAACCGCACTTTTGTAAGAAAATAAGATGAGAGAGTGTAGTTTTAGGGTTATGTGGTACAAGGATAATTAGGATATTTAAGAAATAATATTAAACGGGTACCCGCGAGTATGGATATCATCATACCCGCCCCCGCCCCATTTATAAACGGGTAAAACATTATCCGTCCCCATTATCCGCGGGTACCCAATTAGCCTATGCATTTATTATCCGTAGCGGGTTTTATCCACAGATACCCGCAGGTGCGGGTATTTTTACCATCCCTAGGCTAGGCCCATCATATCTATAAATAGGAGGATACTAGGTCAATGCGGAGGCATTTAGATTGGTTAGTCTTTGTGGGAATATAGCAATACCTTTGATGATTAGCAAGGGGTATAGCACTTTGGCTGTCACAATGAATTGTCACACATTTTTTTGTGATATACCCAATTCACAAATCATCCCTTTTAAGAGTTTCCTTCACTCCTTCAGCAAGAGCAATAAATTATGCTTGTGTTGTAGACAAATTTACCACAAGATGTAAATTTGCTTTCCAACTAATAACAATCCCAAACAAAGTGCACACATACCCAAATAAAGGTTTCCCATAGTCTATATCAACATACCCCATAATAGCATTCCATCTTTAATTGTCTTCTTATACCTCAAACCAAATTTTGGAGAACCATTCAAATATCTCAATACCCACTTCAAAACCTCCTAATAGCATAAGCCAAATCAGGTCTGCTACAAACCATGTCATACATGATACTCCCTACCCCACTTGCATATGGAATAGAACATATCCCCCTCCTTTCCTCTTTAAGGCTAGGAGCTTGTGTGATAGAGTTTTGTGTGATGACCTAAAGGAGCGCTATTTGGTTTAGATTGATGCATCCTAAAACTCTCCACTACCTTTTGTATGTACCCATGTTGAGATAAAAGCAATTCTTTCTCTGATTTGTTTCTCACAATATCCTTTCTAAGTATCCTCTTAGCAACACCAAGATCTTTCATCTCAAACTCATAATTTAATTTCTCTTTTAGCATACCAATCTCATCCTTGCTAGAGCTTGCTACTAGAATATCATCCACATATTGCAACTTCTCCTTTTTTAATATGTAAAGGCAATTGTCATAGTTGCTCCTCAAAAAACTCAAGTTAAATAGAAAATCATCAAACTTCTTATACCACATACGTGGAATTTGTTTCAAGTCATAAAGTGATTTTTTCAATAGACAAATCTTAGACTTATATCTACCAATCCCTCTGATTGTTGCATATAGATAGTCTCCTCAAGGTCCCTATGAAGAAAAGTTGTTTTAACATCCAATTGTTTTAACTCTAGATCATACTAATTTACAATTGTCACAAGCCTTGCCTTGTCCACACCCGAAATACCCTCCTTTTTCTTAAAGGTCCACTTGCATCTAACTACCATTTGATTCTTGGACAGATCCACAAGCTCCCAAGTTTGATTTTTATTCAAGGACTCCATTTCTTCATTTATAGCTTACAACCAATACTGTTTTTCCTTACTCTCCATAGCCTCTTTAAAACTTCTTGGTTCCGAGTCTTGTATCTCTTTAGCCACAATAAGAGCATAGCAGATAAGGTCAACATACCCAAATCTCTTAGAAGGTACAATATTCCTCCTAATCCTATCTCTTATCAGTTGATAGTCTAAACTAGCAGATGATACATTGTTTGTTGGTACACCATTCATTGATGTAATACTATTTCCAAAATCACCAGTAGGAGACTCCACCTCTTAATGAGTTTTCTCCTTAATTGTTTCTAAGTAGCTTTCTTCTATTAAGTTTGAGAGATAGAGAGAGAGAGAGAAAGATTGAACAGTAAGATGTAATTTGTAAATTATTCAAAAGTAAAAATATTACAGAGTACATAAATTACTTATAAGACTAACTTCCTAATCGAAGCATTAACAGCCTATAACAATCAAATAGACTAAAGGGATAATTACACAAAACAAAAAATATAATTGGACAATAAAGGAGTAAGGTTATACTCCAAAACCACCCCACAAGCTCAAGTAGGTGAATCAACCAACTTGAGCTTGTCACGCAACTCACAAAATTGAGACGGAGATAGAGCTTTGGTGAGAATGTTAGCAAATCGATCAATAGAGGGAACATGAACTACTTGAAGTTTCTTAGCAACAACTTTTCCACGAACAAAGAACAAGTCTAATTCCATGTGTTTTGTGCTAGCATGAGGAATCAGGTTATGTGCCAGAGCAATTGTACTCAAATTATCACAAAGTATAACCAAAGTCAAGTGGGACACATGGAGCTTAGATAGCGTTTGAACCCAGATTACTTCAGTAGTGACCGGTGCCAAACTTCTATACTCAGCCTCTGTGTTGAAACGAGCTTCTATTGTTTGTTTCTTGGACCACCAAGACACTAGATTTGATCTAAGAAAGATAGAGGCACCTAATATAGACCTTCTATCATTAGGATCAGAAGCCTAGTCTACATCACAATACACATGAATGGATAAGGGAGAATTTGCGGGTGTTGGTTGAAGATGCA